CTGTGCAGATCACTGTCCATCAAAGGAAACAGCGCTGAGGCAGCCACGGCCTGAGATAAGGGATCGGATTGCATGTGCTTCTCACGGGCAGGGTGGGCAGCCACAGGAGCACAGGCGCTCGGTACAATGCTGCACTCGGGCACAGCCCGGCGCTCCGAGTGCCTGGGGACACGGGACAGGGGACACGGGAGGGTGCCGAGGTGTCTAACACAGGAGCACACCTCACACACATCTCCTGCTGCCCTTCTTCCCTCCCGGGAACGGGCAGCCACGGCCAGGGCTGAGCTACAGCTCCCCAGGGAGTGGTAGCTTGCGGCCGGGAGCTTGTACCCAGCGAGTTCTGTAGCCGTGGCCGCGGGAAGGGCGCGGGGCTCGCACCGGCGAACATCCCCTGCCGGCGGCAGCGCCCGCCGCGCTCGTTCGGTGACACGCGGGGACAGGGCTCCTCCCGAGCACCGGGGCCGCTCGCACCCCCCGTGCCGTCAGCAGCGAATAACAGAGCAGCAGCCCGAATCCTCGGCCACCCGCCAGCGACCGCGCCGCCGAGGGGCAGCGCGGCCCGAGCGCAGAACGCGCCCGCCGCGCTCGGCACCGGCACCGGCTGCGGGGAGGGACGGGGCACCCAGGGCACGCTGCCCACGGCGCCGCTGCCCCGCGGCTGTCCGGGAAAGCCGCTGTCCCCCCCGCCGCCCGGACACCTGCGAGCCCCGCCGGCCCGGCACTCACCGGCGGCGGCCTCCAGCAGCGCGGCGGCGCGGAGCAGGCGGTAGTAGCGCTCCATGTCCCCCGCCGAGGTGCCGCCCGGCACCGGCATCGCCCCGCCCCGGCACTGACCCGGTACCGGCACCGGCCCGCCCCTAGCGCCGCCCCGGTACCGGCCCGCCCCGGTCCGGTATCGCCCTGGTCCGGTATCGCCCCGCCCCCGGCACTGCCCCGGTACCGCCCCGGTCCGGTACCGGCCCCGCCCCGATCCGGTACCGTCACCCGCCCTGCCCTGGTCCGGTACCTGCACCGTCCCGCCCCGCCCCCGGCACCGCCCCGGTACCGGTACCGCCACGGTCCCGCCGCCGCCGCCCCCGCCCGCGTGCATTTCTTTCCCTTTTTTTAGCTCCTTCCCCCGCTTTTTCCTTCCTGGTTTGTTTGTTTATTTGTTTGTTTTTTCCCCTCTTCCCCCTTTCCTCTTTCCCCCCTTTTTTTCCTCTTTATTCCCTTTTCTTTTTCACCCTTTTTTCCTATTTCTTTAGTTTATTCCCTTCCTCCCCTTTCTCCTTCCTCTTCCCCTCTTATTCCCTTTTTCTTTTCCCCCTTCCCCCTTTTTTCCATTCCCCTATTTTTCCTCTTTTGTCCCCCTCCTTAGTCTTTTTTTCCAGTATTTCCTTCTATTCCCTCTTTTGCTTTTTTCTTCCTTCCCCCCCTTTTTCCTTCCTCTCCCTTTTCTCCTTTCTTTCCTTTCCCTCTCCTCCTATTCCTTTTTTTCCCTTTAATTTACCACTATCCCAGTGCCCCCCAGCACACCACCCTGCAGCTGGATTTACTCCCTGCCTTAGTGCCTATAGCACTTCTGTAGGGGAAAAAAAACCCCAAAAACAAAACCAAAACATTTCCATCCTCCGCAAGCAGCATTCTAGCAAATTCCTTGAACGATTTATGAGAAGTGCATGAAACCACACTGCAGCCAGGGCTGGCCAGAGCTCCCAGCACAGCACTGGGCTGCCCCATCAGTCTCAGTTTTCCTGATGCTGAGGCTCAAACGATGCCAGCTCGCTCTCGACAGGAGCCTGAGCTGCCCAGGAAGGCAGCATGGAGAAGGAGATGTTCCTGTTTTTCCAAAACAACCTTTTAATTATGCTCTTTACTATAATAGCAGCCTTTTTCCAACACTTCAGCAGTCAGGGCTATTAATTAAAGAGCCATGGTCTAACAGTGGTAATATAAAACTCAGCATCTTTTGGTAGGCCCTTCTTACCCTGATACAGAATTTTTCCAGGGAAAACAACCATTCAGTCAGGGCTCCTTGCTCGTGACACAGCAGGCTCTCACTACCAAACAGACTGGAGAGATGATTTTCTGTCTGGTCATAAAGCACTTCTTGTGTGACAGGGACAGTTCATGTGCAGTTACTCATGAAAAAATCACTCTGATACGCAAGGCTGCAAGTCAGGAAAGAGCCTTGCCCCGTTCCTGCTGTATTCCCACCGCAGGAACGCTGTTTGTCCCAAACTGCCCCGGCTCAGGGAGAACGGGACCCACCCAAGTGCTCAAAGCCCCCGTTGTGCCCCAGCACTGCACAGGGGATGCTCTGCTGTGGCTGGGACTCACCCCACTGAGTGCCACACTCCTGCTTGGCACAGGAGCTGGGGAGTGAAGCCACCCCGCAGGAGATGCAGCTGCCACCCCCAAGGCTCACAATCAATCCGTTCCTTGCTCTCTGAAGGGAAGGCAAAGCCGTGCAGGCGGGACGTGGGTGAGGTCTCTGCAGCCCAGCCCAGGTGTGCCCGACGCTGGCAGGAATCCTGCACACCAGAGCCCTGCACACAGCAGGGCTGGCAGCAGGCAGCCTCGGGCAGCCTGCAGCTGGGCAAGCTGGGCTAGCTCAGGCTGGAGGGCCGTGGCTGATGGCATTTCCTCAGGGCCACCGAGAGTCACGGTTTGGAACCCTGGCTGCTCACTTTGGGGCGTTCCACTACCAATGCCCAGCTACCCCAGCAAGGCATTCTGCATCGTCCAGCTGCCCACATTTTATTTACACTGCCAGCAGCTCCTTGGCTCCTCCTGAGCCGGGTGTCACCCTCCGCCTGCCCAGGAGATGCTAAACTGAGAGAAGCAGCAAGGAGACACGTTAAAAAGGAAACACTGACAGCCAGCAACATGGCTGTTTCTTTTTCAGGAATCTCCTGTCCAGGCCCCTTAGCAATGTTCAGCACTCCGAGGGTGGCACATCCAAACTGGTGTGTGAGGGGCAAGATCCCTTTAAAGCTGTGGAAAATCTTGACAGCACCTGTTTGCAGAGATTTATTTCATGTGGGTGCAATGCCTCATCCTTAAATCTAATCTTAGGGAGAAGGTGTAGGAAGAATTCCAACTAATTTCATTAATTCCAGATCAGGGGCTGAAAAAACCCACTCAAAATTATAAACCTCTTGAATTTGAAAAACAACCCAACTTTTTTCTCCCTTTCCCAGATTAAGGCTAGAAGGTTGGGTTGAGACTAGAGCCATTATTTGGATTTGGAAATTACCCTCCAAAAATACCTGTTCAGTCAAGTGCTGAGAACTGGAAAAACAGAGCTGGCTAAACACAGGTTAGAGTCAAAGTGATGTCCAAGGGAATTGCTCACCTCTGGAGTAAGCAAACTACTAGTGCAGAAGAGTAATGGACCTCGGGCTGGTTTTTATGAGCAGGGGTTTTAGGAGGATTTCCTGTGCAGACAGCAGCATCGCCCTCACTCCAGGGCTACTGCCCAGTGCGGCTCTGCCCAGGCTGGTCCAGGCTCAGCAGAACCTCCAGAGCCTGGCAGGAATCCTGACCCGACCGAAGCCAGCCACACCTGCACGGATTTAATGAAGAGGAGGATTTTATGTCTCCTACTTGAATGTGAGAAATAAAAGGGCTCCACTCTGCTCTCCCACTCTCGCTTTCCCCCTGCCTCAGTTGTTGCTGCAGCTCCTGCTTTTGGAAAGGAACACTCACAGGTGCACACACACACCCTTTCTCCAGGCCACTGTGTATTTTCCAGCTCAGCAGGTTATCCAGACGTGTGAAAACTTAAAGCAAAGGCCAATGCCAGCAGCGAGAACGCTGTGGCTGCATGTCCTGCAACAGCTGCAGGGGGACAGCGAGGGACAGGGACACCGCGCCCCCTCCACGTGCCAAGAGCCCGCACACGCCAACAGCCTGGCCTTAACAAAACTGCTGTCCTTGTTAAAAACCACCTTACAACACGACATTGCCTCTCCTTTCCGACCAGCAGGGCTGCATGGCTGTTTGAAATGCTAATTTTGGTGCTTTCTGCAGTAGCCGGTGACCTGCAGGCATCTCCCATCGCTTACATGCACAGCTTTGTCCTGCCAGCCCGGGCAGCCAGCTCGGGGTGAGAGCCTCTCCAGCCCTTCAGACCATTCTCACCATCTCTCCCTGGTGCTATCAAGATTCTCAATGCGTGTATCTGGTTTCCAATAGTACGAGCTGCTCGGGAAAGGTTAGTTTGTTTTAAATAGCTCAGCCATCTGTCCTGCGGTGCCTGACGGGAGTGCAGGGATCGAAGCAGCCAAAACAGAATTTTTCAAACTGTCAGTTTCTCATTACAAACATTTCAGCTTGAAACAGACCCGTGTCCTTAAAAAGAAAGTTAAGCCTATATATTTCTTGTGCATTACACAAACACTGCGAGTCGTGCTTCAGCAGTTTCCTCCTGTTGTTGGAATTTCATCAATGCAAATATTGGGCCTGAACCTCACCAGCACCAGGCACTTTGCAAACCTCATCTGTGTATTTCGAGGCTTTGAACTAAAAAATACTTCATTACAAGCAGCCACGGCACAGAACCAAGAACCAAAACAGAGCAGTAAGGAAAACACTTCGTGAATGGAAATCAGGCACATGGACCTACATTCTTCTCAGCCAGTTCCTAAATGTCAGCTGAAGCCTTGGGTTCACCTCTTCTAGAAAGTTAAATCAATTTATTCACTTAATTCACAGGATTCACTTTCATAATTAAATATTCATTTTGAGGGAAATTCTTGGAGAGCACACAGGCCAGCTGTGTGCAGCAGCTGATACCCACAACTGCTAATACACTGCTGCAAAAATAAAAATGTATGAGAAGCAAGCAGGGTTTCCTTAGGTAAATGCTGCTGCACACCAGGCAACCAAGCATGGCCTTGCTGGCACCTACCCCACCGTGAAAATGCTGATTTTTTCCCCCTAGTACTGCCCTGGAAAAGCCCACACAATCAATTATCCCCTAGGAGTATCCAAGGAGATGAGAGACAACAAGTATATATTAATCAGAACAACATACCAAAGTTTATTGATTACTTCAAACAAAAGTTTCTGTAATGAAAAAAGAGCAAGTTGCATTCATAAAAGGTAACATTCACATTCAATTTCCTTGATATAAAGCAACATAAATGTATAAAATTGCATTTAATTGAAAAAAATGTAAGGTTGCAGTCCTTTTTCTTTGCAAGAAGCTGAAAATGTATCTGCTCATTGCCTGTATATAATTTACATTTTCTATACACTACATGGTTTTTTTAAAAAATTCATAGCTGGGAAATTGGATAAATGGTGCAGTATTAGGAAAGTTTTTCAACTGTGTGTATACAAATTCAATTTGAAGCTTTTATGCAATTCCAAGTCATTTATAATATTCTCATAACGATTAGGATTAGTTTTTGCAAAGTCGCTATGACTACACCAAGCTCCACTGTTATCACATAAGAGTTTTAGAGGGAATCTTAATTACTGTCCTTATCTTTCAGTGTCACTAGTCAGTGACAAAACTTCAACAAATTATTATGAGAAAACCCAGCCTTTTTTCCTTCAAGTTTCTCCACCAAGAAGCCTGTACTGGCCTTTCAGTGTCCCTGAAGGGCACCGTGAGTGTGGTGGCATCAGGGAACGAGCACCCACCACAGCATCCCCGTGCCACTGCTGCCACGCCAGTCCTGCTGCCTCTAACCCTACAGCCCTGACCAGCACTTCTTCTGCCCCTCTCTAACCTCAGAAGGGGTCTCCTGTTTCCCTGATTTCACAAGTCACCCACAGCAATCACAATTCTGGTTTTGCCATTGCTGAGTGGCGAGGATCAGCTCTTCTGCTGGACCTGGCTGTCCTGGCACCCAGCACTACACCAGTGCACTATCTGAAAACCCAAGCCCAAGAAAAACTGCATTTTCTCCAAAAGAGCTGTATTCAAGACATTCCACATGAATTCCACCTGTCAGCATGCACACCTTGGGTTTGAACATACAGCTATTGCAAGGGCTTGTTCCAGCTGGAGACAGGACACTTGGAAAGGCCAAGAGAAAGATTTGGTTCTCAGAAGGCTCTGTCTTGAGACAGGCAGCAGAAATGATCCTGGTTACGTGACCATTTGAGCAGTTCACACACACGTCAGGTTCCACTGCTCCCACTGATACCACCAATGGAATTCCAGGGGAACAGACTGTCACCCTTGGAGCAGAGCACGACACAAAACTAACTGAGAAGCAAGGTGTCATGCTTGGGACCATTCGGGCTTGGAATGGTTTTGAATCACAGGAATCAGGCATTTTAGCGCCCATTTTTCAGAGGTTATGTAAACACAAGTCAGCAACTGTATATTTAAGGAGAATGGTTAGATTTGGCATAGAGAGCATATCTTCATTGTACTCATCGTATACTTGATCTGTAGGCACCGCATTTCTGCAAGGAAAGTTGAGCAGGGGACAAGGTCTGCAAGTCGAATCCTAGGTCTGTGAAATGAGCTAGGGAAATGGGAAAACAAAACAAAGCAGAAAATGGAAGCTTTGCCCACGGGACACATGCTGGCAGTGCAGCTCCTGCCTGGCATGCAGCAGGGAGCTGAGCCGCGCGCTGGCACGGCGCAGACGCCGCTCGTGCCGAGGCCAGTGCAGAGTGTATGATACAGTGGTCCTGTCCATGTCCTCTCCCACGCTGGGCCATGGCAGAGCAGCCCCAGGACTGTGCACTCCCCTCTCCCACTCAGCTAAGGCCCATCCAACATCCCCATGATGCACGAGAGAATTTGCCAGCAGCTGTCCGCACCGGTCGCAGACGAACCGCAGGGATGGCAGCCAGAGAGCAAGACTTGATTCTTCCAAAAATGAACAGTCTGCAGTTCAACAAAACACGGTGAGGGGAATGTTCTGTCTATCCCAAATTGTTCTGTTGTACGTACATGACACAAGGCTGAGCGAGCAGGAGCCAAAGCCAGAGGCAGTGCAGAGCTTGCTGCTTCTGAAAGGAGCCCCGAAGCTTCTCCCAGCAGCTCCTCTGGGGACATCAGCACGAGGCAGGGGCTGTCACACCAACCAGCAGGGCACACAGGCTGCTCTGTCACTGCTCAGGACTTAACACAACAAAAGAAGCTGCTCTTTCCACACAGGAAGTATCAGAGAAAAAAAAATATTGAGAGTCAGGCATCTCACCTTTGCTGTGCAGAACCTAAAGAGGAAAGTTCCTACTACCATGGTACAGGTAGATTTAAAAAGAACATGCCAATTTAAAAAACAAAATGTAAAATGAAATCAGGCTCATGTATTCAATTTTAAACTGTCTTCTTTTTTCTTAGTGCAAATAACTCAAGATGCAGTTTTATACACCTGCAGGTTGACAAGCACAGCCCATGTCCCTGGGATCAGCCAAGGACTACACTGTCCCTCAGGCCTTTAAAGTGTTGGAGCTGCTGCACAGTGCAGTAATGCAAGCACAGCCACAGGAGCCTGGTGCTCAGAGTCTGGCACAGCCCAACTTTTGGGATTCCTCTTTCCCCCACAAAAGCTTCCTTCCATCACAACAGCCCCAAAACAACCTTTTCTTCACACTCCAGCAGGAATAAACCCATCAGCAAACTGGTTGTGGGAGGATGCTCTGGCACTTCCAGCACTGCAGGTCTTCACATGGACACCACTGCTGTGGACAGACCGCAGACTGCTTCCAGCTCCACCTGGAGGAGAGAGTGGCAAAGATTTCTCCCGAATTTTCAGTGATCCTGCCGTGTGCATCTGGGAACTCATGGCTGGGAGGGGGCAGCTGCCAGGCCCAGCAGCAGGAGAGGGGCTCCAGGGCTGCATCCACCTTCCCTGTGAGGGGAGCAGCCTCTTCCCAGTGCCTCCAGAGGGCTGGAGGGGAATGTGACTGGGTTGAAGTCTGTGCTACTTCTTTGGTCAGGCAGAGCAGGAGCTCTGAGCAGCCCTGCTGCTCTCGGACAATCTGCAGCGGGCACGGGAGCCCCGTGTCAAATGGGGCTGGCACTGCACTCTTGCACTTCCATCCATGCTGTTTGGGGTGAACTCCTAAAGATGCTTTCTCAGCCTCCAGTGATGTAGGATTTGGCAGAAGTGGTTTTTCTGGGAGGGCAGGGAAGCCTCAAGACCAAAGACTAACGGGTACCGTGGGGCCAGTGCCCTGGCTGCTCTCCCAGCAGGGCTGCTGCCAGTCCTTGGTACTATCAAAGGTCACTGCCAGGTAAAACCATGGGTTCCTACAGCATGACAATGTGCAGGGTTTGTGTGGAGCACTTCAAGGTATCCTGAGGGGATATCTTTCTGCCAAATTAGTAACAGCATCTTCAGCCTTCACATAACCATTCTCTATACGTTTGTATGACACTAACACAGGCAGATCAAAGGGGCCAGCCTGCAAAAATCAGAAGGAAAACAAACATGTATTGCAACTGTTACATTGCCAAACCCATAAACCTTTTCCTGGGTTATTAAAAAAATATATACATAGAAGAATGATTAGACCATGATAAAAGTGCCAAATATCATTCACAACCAAGTAATCAGATGATAAATCAATTTTCACAATTTGCAAAATGCTGCATGAAGTCCAAAAGTGGCACCTGCCCCACTGTCCCCTGTGCTGGTCCAGCCACCTCCCACAGCAGTCTGCACCAGGGTGTGGTGGTGGAGAGCACCACCTAATGTCAGTGGGGAAGGACTGGCTGCACAGGCTGGGTGCCAGCTGCACTGGGGGCCTGGCAAGGCTGCCTGCTGGCCCTGCCATGCCACAAATCTGACGTCTTTAGCAGCAGGTGTGGGCACCGAGGTGCGAGAGGTTCATACACAGTCTGCAGGTTTATGTTTGCAGCAGACACCACACATAACATCTCCCCTAAATGCAGAATTGTGAATTCAATTAGGCACTTTTCTTATTCTGCTATTGGCTTACTACAAAGTTTGAAATCAACTCGTAGGAGGATGCTCTGGGTGTGTGTGCAGGCACACGGACACAGACATGCCTCTGGCCCATGTGCTGCCACACACAGATAAGTACATGTGTTTAGTTTCCATCTGTGCAGATGAATTAAAACATACTTATTTCTATCTGACAGAACAGCATGCACCCTAGAGAAAGGGATTTTGGTACAATTCAGATGCAATACTGGGATCATTTTAACAACTGAGATCTCCATCCTTCACTGTAAATGTATCAGCATTAGCTTTTATAACCAGTGTTAGCACAATTGAGGCTGCACTCTCAAATTAAATTTTGTGCTAATATTGGACTGAAGTAGCAGTTAGATTGAAATATTTGTTTACATATTGCCAAATATTGGAAAGGATCTGTACAGCTATGGGATTCTGAAGAAGCTGGATAGTACAACACCCCCACATTAAAATGCATCCCAAGCATTGCATCTCCATTCCACAAGGACAGGTGCCCCACACCGACAGTCAGGAGGATTACAAGAACCATGGTTTAATTGATTTGGAGGAGGTTACACTTGGTTAATTGATGCCTTTAAAACCATCCCAATCCTCCAGACAGGGTACCTGTTACAACACATTAGACTCATCTGAGAAGGTTCTTAAAAGAAGAGGTCTGACAGAAGGTCTGGCCGACAATGAATCAGGTGCCTTCCTGCTGCTCTGCAACAGCGAGGCAAAGAGACTTATAGCACACGAGCCCTCAGCCTGCCTGGGCCAAACAATGCTCACACCCCCTTACAGCTGCCTCATTCCAGAAAGGAGGGACTGACACATGGTGCCTAGCACTGGCTGGCTTCTGCAGTGCAAGGGGCACGGGAGGTACTCAGAAATTGGCTCTGCTCCTCAAAGTGTTTGGAGATTCATGCTGCAGGTGCTTTTGGGGGAGGAGGAAAACATCCCTGATCTCCACACAACTGGTATTTTTAGAACAGCAAGTAATGGTGGAGAGCTGCAGTGAATCCAAACACTAGGGACAGGCAATCAAGGTGCTTTGCTGTGGGTGACCCCACCAGCCCCATGGTCAGCAAGTCCAAAACTATCCCTTGATGTGAGGGTTGTGGGCTGTGGCTTAATCACTCACACCAAGAACAGCAGCAGCACTGACAAATGGCAGGGACTGGGCAAGGTGGGCACTGGGGAAGCTCCTCCTAGGTCAGACAAGCCTGAGCCATTTGCCAAGTCACCCAGAGGACAATCAACACCAATTCCACCTTGTCCCACTCCTGTCTGGTCCACTAACACAAAACTACAGCAAGGAAGGAGAGTGTAACCAGCTTTGTCTGTGTCCACCTCACTTGGACATCCTGAGCACGACCAGCTCGCCCACCTGCGGTGCAGCAAGAGACCCAAGGGGAAGAGACAGACCAAATATTTAAGCAAAAGATTTAAATTAAGGCAAAAGGTGAGGAAAAGCAAGGCTCTGCTGTGTGAGCAAGTCTAAACGTGGGTTTTCAGGAGTTAGGCATTAGAAGGAAGAAAAAAGCAGTCGAGCAAGCAACACATTGCGACTCAGAAAGGAAATCACCTTATTCACTCCAAGAAAAGCTGTGATTGCTGGAAGTTTGAGAAAGCATGAAGATAGTGGATGTTCCTGAGGAAGGAAGGCGCTTCGTTACCTAGTTCACAACAGCACAAAAGACAGAAAATTGCAGTACGAGAAAGAGAAAGGCAGAAACCAAGGAAAACACAAATGCGCCTTGCAGTTAAGAAAACAAACAGAACCAAAACAAAATAAAAACAACCACCACATTACCACACAGAAAATTTAATAAAGGCTGAGCAGAGCTGATGCGCTGTGTTACAGGAAACTGGGGGTGAAACCCTGCCCCACTGGGATCAAGGGCAAACGCCCAACAACCTGGCCTAAGTCTGTCCTCCCCTTCCAGAAGGGACCCTTGGCCACCAAGTTGTGCTTCAGGCTCCCATACAATGCCCCTCATTTTGTTTTTCACTGTATGGTTCCCTTGGGACACTGATATTTATTTTACTTCAATATTAAGGTCAGGATTCTTAACAAGGGTTTTGATTTGAAATCATCTCCCTGGTCCTAGATGCCTTTACAAATCAGGCAGCTGTCTGATGGCTGACACAGATATCCAGAGCTGCTATCTCCTTCAGGCACTTACAATAAAGCTCTTACTCAAAATGTACATTAAATAGGGCTCAGCCTGTGTTTAGTTTGGGATGCACATCTGAAGAGACTCTTCTAGTTGACACGCACTTTGCTTTGCTAAGTGATTTCACAAGAGCCTTTGTTAAATGAATAAAAAGCACTCTTGAAATAAGCGTTGCAAGAGGGGATGGATCTTTGCTCAGCAGCTGAAGGCAAAAACCTCCCAGGTGAGTTGAGCTGGGGCTCAGAAACCCCCAGGTCACCCTCCAAGGGCACTGTCCCCAAGCTCTCCTTTCCAGGACACTGTCCCCAAGCTCTCCTGTGTCTGCAGCTGAGAGCAACTCACTCCCAGCCTATCCAACAGGGGTGTCCAGCTGGAAACTATTAAATCATACACAAGTGGAAGAAGTTACATGAATCCTCACAAAATACAACCACAGCTCTTACCACCTCCACTGTTTCCAGCTTCAGTGATGCCCCATCCCTGGGAGTGTCCAAGGCCAGGCAGGATGGAGCCCTGAGCAACCTGATCTAGGGAATGGCATCCCTGCCATGGCAGGGGCTGCAACTGGCTGATCTTCAGGGAGCCTGCCAACCCAGACCTGTCTGTGACTCCTTCAATGACCAGGGGTGGGGGTACCTGCCTGCAAGTGACCCCAGCCCACGTCCCTCCAGCTGTGCCCCACTGCAGCCCTGGCACCAGCAAAGCCAGGGCAGGAGGCCAGGGCTGCCTGGCAATGCCCACATGCTGGCCCAGGGCAGGACCTGCTGAGGCTGCAGGGCAAGAGAGCTGCTGCAGGGGGGGAGCAGGGCCAGGGGAGCAGGGCTGACCCTCAGGGACACCCCCCTGCCCCCAGGACAGCAGAGACAAGGGGCAGGGGGCTCAGCACAGCGAGTCCTGAGCCTGGCAGAGCTGGCCTTCACCACCTGCAGGAGCACTGGAGAAAACTGCTAAGAGGTTTCCACTGCTAAAGGGACCCTCCTCCCCAGCAGTGGAGGAGAGCTGCTAAGAAACCAGAGAACTTCCAAGGAGAGTGAATCATGGTCTGAGCCTTTGGTTATTTATGCAGGATGGGCAAATGTGACAAGAGCTGGCCCTGCTCCCACTGCACCAGCACCTGAGGACATACCAGGGGAGCATCCTGCTTTTCTGACATAAAAACAAGCAGTTGTTTTCAGGACAAGACAAAGTGTTCTTGGTGATCAGTTCAGGCTGGACAAGGCCTATGCTCTTCTCTAGGAGACACCACATTCCCACCCAGGGAAGGCAGCTAGGCAAAGGCACAGGTTGGCTCTCTCCCTGCTGCAGATCTAGGCAGTATTTTTAGAATAACTTCTTGACATGTTTGGCATGTGAAAGAGCAAGACAAGACTCTAGAAAGCCTTCCTTGAGATGTGAGTGGTACGTGGTATTGTTAGAGGTTCATCTGGTGCCTAAGGGTAAGAACAGTCTTCCTAAAAATACAGTGTGATACATCATCTTGTTCCTTACCTGATGATTTTTCTCTTTTATATTTTTTAAAACTATTAGAAGAATTTCTGGGAAAAGGCTGATAAAGATCAGGAGAATTATTGCCAGCCATGTGGAAACAGAAGTCAGCATATGAGCAAATACAAAATACATTCTTTGCTGCTTCAAGAAAGGCCTGAAAAAGAAAGGATACAAATAAATTCTGGTTAACAGGGGTATTCCCAGAAGATTAGAATCAACAGAGACTTCAGGTAAAGCTATCAGCAGCTATGCCTCCCTTTCAGACACAGATGGATACAGCACAGACACACACTGTCCATCCCTCTAATGCATCTCCTGCCTCCAGCTGCACTATTTCTGGAAGATTGTCATGATCCATTTTGCATCTTCCACATCTGTTTCTTTCCAGGGCGGGAAGGGGTTTGAATTTAGCCACCATCACTGAACAATAAATTATTCACCTCATCAAAAGCCAGGTAATTTTATTCCAATGTCAGGGTTTGCTAGAGCTTCTGGTTTGGTTTTGGCAGTGGAAATCCAGAGTCTCCCAATCACAACAGGTTATTTGTCCCTTCCTCCTTTCCTTGATGAGGGAGAGCAACCAACAGCTGCTGGGGAAAAACTCCTCATCAATAACTGCTGACAAGGACCCCAAAGCAGTTTTTGCTTACTGTTAGATCAAAAATATTGAGCTATGCAAGTTAAACAGCAGGAAGAGTTTTCAGTAGAAAACTCACATTGAGCATGGAGATGCGGCTAGATTCAGATCTGTGTCTGCTGGTCAGCAGAAGTTAACTGCAGAGCTAAAGCTTGTGACCCCCACACAAAGCATTTAAATCTGTTCCACATCCTTATTAGCAGGTTGCTGGACCAGGGATCCAGCTGGATCAGAGATCCAGCCAATATCCCATGGCAAAGCAAAGGTGTAAAACAGAGATGCTGTCTGCTGGGAATGTCAACTGAACACTTGCTGCAGCACAGGAAATACAAAGCTGTAATGTTTGTAATGCACTAATGCTCACCTGCTTTTGCAACACATTAAACGTCAAATCCTGGGTGCACTCAAATCAAGAGCATTTCTCCTACTCAGATCCATCATTTCAACACCAGGACCTGGCTTGCTCCTGTTTATTTTTCCCTCTGTCCCAGAGGGCCAGGCCCTCTTGCTCTGCATCTGCCCCACCTGCTCCTTCTGTTTCACTGAGGTTCTTCCCAACACAAATTCTGTCTCCCTCCTCCACATGCACAAACAGACCCTAAAAGGCTTAGACTAGAACCTCCCAATACGGACAAGAGCCTCAAGCAGCAGAAAAGCAAGCAGCCCCTGCCCTAGCTGAGCACCTGGATGATGCCCAGGGTGTTCTCTCTTGCAGGCTCTTCCCTCTGCTGGGCTGAGACCTCCTCAAACACACCCATGTGCAGCAGCCCTCACCCAGCACTGCCTTTTGGCGTGGGATGGAGGCAGCCCTTCCTCAGGCAGCAGAGGAAGGAGCAGGGCTGCACACACCTCGGCACCCACACACCTCAGGGACCCCTAAGGAGGGGTGCAGCACCGGCCATTCCCCCAAGAAAGGGCAGTGGAAAGAAGAAGATACTTGCCAAATGACTCCTCCCCAAAAGAATGAGAAAAACACATAGAAAGCAAGGGAGCCCCAAATCACAAAGTGGTTCATCCACGTCCAGAATCGGGTGTCTAACGCCAGCTGTGGGAATAAAGAGAGACAAAACAGGCTTTAGATGCAGAGTGCATTGGTTGTATTTGTATGACATTTCAGACTGGTTCCACATTAAGGCTGAAGGTTCTCCAAACAGCTACCTCTGTGCATATGGGCACCAGGAAAAACATTTTCAATGCCCACAATGTTAGCAGGGAAACAGTGACATTCTAATTGTAACTGGCACTTTTAAATGGAATAAATTTGATGCAACCCCTGATCCTACAGGAAAGAAACATCTAAAGGTTACAGGGACTGTAATTGCCTCTTGTCACCACCTGCTGTCCTGAACCAAACACAAAAGACCTTTTGTAAGGTCTTATGCAAACAGTTTGTTCTGGAAAGCTCCATGAAACAAAATAGATTTGCTATTGTTATTTGACACATGTGCTTTTGTGATCACTTTGGCACTCAGCCTTGCCTGAAACAAGGTGGACAAACCCAAATTCTCTATTGCTCCTCTCCTCTTGCTGGAACTAAACATCAAGAGGTGAAAGCGTGGGGAAAAGTCAACCGTAACCAACCGGAGTCCTCAAAAGAGGGGAAAAAAATAGAAAAATAATTTAAACAAAGCAAACACTTAGATGACAGACCACACAAAGGAAAGTAAGCAGGTTCTGCCTCTACGGGAGAAGATTTAAGTGTGGTGGAAAATACTCAGACACTTGATCTGGAGCACGCTGAGCCCATGATTTCCCAGTGCACACACAGCCCTGGCAAAGGGCTGCAGGGAGAGCCTGACCGGACAGGGGAGGGAGGCGCTGACCTTGAGAGTGACGGTGAACACCAGCACGGTGAAAACAATCGTCCCAAAGGTCCAGTTCCCAAACACCTGCAAAACACACGGCACTGCCACAGGCGTCCTGGCCCTCCTCGGGAGGCACAGCACGCCGACAGGGACGGGGGCAAGCAGGGAGCAGGGGGAGGGCAGGGACAGAGGCACGGACACGGACGCTGGGACAGCTCCCGGCACAGCGCGCCTCGCCACGCCACCCTGAGCCATGCAGGGCCACAGACAGGTGACCAGAGCTGGGACAGTGACAGGGACAACCTCCTACTAACAGCAATTCAGTAAGGACACAAGTCATTGCACCACCTGCATCTCAGGATTTCCTGGCAATTTACTCAGTTTCTGCTTTCTCGCCACACTCATCATCATCATCACCTCCTCTCTGCAGTCCCCCTGCAGAATGCACCAGTGGGTGCTGCTCCAGCTGGTTTGGTTTGTGGGTACTAGTGACTACACACACAAAGAAAAGCAGATACTGTATATAAATCCAGTGATGGCAATGAATGGGAGAGATGCTTACCAAAGGCTGTCAAGCTCTGAATGCATACATTAAAACAGAAAGTGAAATGTAAAAGTTTTCAAAAAATGCAAAAAAATTAAAGTCAATAGGAGTGAAAAACGAGTCAATCAAACATACATGGATATTATGAACAATTGCTGGTAGCAGTTCTTACAGGCATAAGTGTTTACAGAACAGGACATAACCACAGATCTTGTTGTAGTGCCACACAGATTTGACCTCTGAAGGCATTTGCAGAAGACATCAGTGCTTCATGTTTCATTCCAATCCAACCAGAATGGCTACAAATACAGAAGAGCACTGATCTGACAATACAGGGGCTTGACTGCATATAGCTGGGGCCATAAATGCTGGCATTGATGCAATGTATGAATATACATACATAAATTTCATCAGCTTTTCTCCAAGTGTTAGCCGCTAAAAAGAGTTTTGGTATTTTGAAGGGTCAAAGGTGATGGTGTAAAGAAGTTTCCCATCAGCCAAGATCTAATAGCACACTGCCCATTCCCTTGGGGAAAGGGTCCTGAAAGAGCTCAGGCCACCACACCTAGCAGCTGCACTGCACTAATGCTTTGCTCTGTACTTAGTTAACCAGCAAAATAAGAAAAAAATGAGAAAAAAGGAAAAATAGAAAAACCCTCCGTTTTTTTTCCTCCTCTTCCCCTGCAAGTTAACCCCAGCAGCTCCCTCAGCAATGCAGCACCCCAGAGCAGAGGCAAGCAGGCAGCAGGGACAACATCCTGCTGCCACCAGCAGCTGGGGACTTCTGCTGGCTCCAAAACAGGAGCACAAGGCGAGCCCAGAGGGCTGAGGGAGACAGGAGGCTGAAGTCACAGCCCCAGGCAGGCACAGCACAAGCAGCCCTGCCCTAACGAGCACCATCTCAGCAAGGTGGGCTAGCTCAGCTGCTCACAACCAGCCAAGCACATGCTGGATTTCAGGCTGTCCCTGGTGGCAAGGACAGACACTGCCCCTGCCCTGGGATCACACAGAGGAGGGGATTGTGCAAAGCTCACTGCCTTGGAGCAGAGCTGTGTGTAAGACTAGTCATTTTACCTAGTGAGAGTAACCAGCTCTGCCCCGTTTCCATGGCAATCTGGAAAATGTTTTATTTCAAGCATTTGCTGCAGGATCACACCATAAGCAAGGCTCCACTGTTGGACAAGACTCGAGACACAGTGCACAGATATTCCCTGCCAGGCGTACCAGAGGCAGCACACAACACAAACACCCATCTTCCCTGCTTTTGTGGTTGTTACCTTTCCGTTGTCTTCCAATGAGGAGTTTTGAAAAAGAAAATAAACCCCAAAGAAAAACACCAGTCCTTCAAAGGCGCCCAGAAATGTCCAGTACAGGAAGGGCCTCCACTGCAGCATTGCATTGTCCGACACCTTCCTGCCAAGAGATGGAGTAACAGCACCATCACCACCACGCTTAGCATGTGCTGCAAAGCTCCTCACTGGCACGGGCTGGGGGCTTTGGAGCAAAAATACCTGTCAGGACATAAAGAACACTTCTAATATGCAGCTGCTGATCATAAGAAATCACAAGAGGTTCAGCATATGAATTGTTTTGTCTTTCTCCTCTAGGTAACTTGGATGAAAAAAGCACAAAGTGAACAGAGGCAATGCTGTCCTGAACCTCTCCTGCAGCCCCTGTGCTGCCCATGGTATCTGACATTGCCTGCTACATTTTAAAAGCAGGGTAAGGCTAAAGAGCAGCTGGATGGGAAGCATTAAATCTGTGGTGTGTTTCCCTCTTTTTGTTGAATGTACAAAGTCCTTTTTTGAGAAAAGCTCTGCAAGTCCTGTTCCCTGAAGTGGTGTTTTTCTGCACAGGCTGAAAATAACCTCCTGAATTGTATGGTGGGTGTTTTTATCACAGGGGTTGTAGCAGGAGGCTCCTGGCTGAATACAGGATGAGATCTGGCATGCAGGCAAATGGATGGGCTATGAGCACAGCTCTGCAGGGACCACACACAGGGCCTGGGGAGTGCAGGGTGGCTGTCAGGGCAGGAGGGAGTTAAAAACAGTTCCCTGCATCATTATCTTTTCAGATTACTTTCTGTCAAGTCCCCACCTTTTTTGCATTCCTCTCCTTAACTCCTAAAGCAAAACATCCATTTTCAGCAAGATGCACTTTGCAAACCTATGTGGTGCTGGGCTCCTAGAGCTGCAGTTTGTGAAATGAGATCCTGTTGAAACCCACACACAGCAATGCTGTGACCACGTTCTAACATGGCACAACCTGGGTCTGAGGAACCAGCAAGGATAAACCAGACTGGAAGCGTGGGCTATTGCAAGGAGAGAAAATAAAGCAGCTTCCTCCCTGTGAGCTGTGTTTTGCACTCCCATTTGTGTCCTGCAGTGCTCGTGGTAAACAGGCTCTTTCCAGGCTCAGCTCTGCACTGCAGCAGCTCAGCACTTCCTCCAGCAGCAGCGCAGCAGGAGCTCTGCATGCAGCAGCACATGCACAGGCAGCAATATTCCAGCTAAGGCTGTTTCCCCTCAACACACAGACCCCAGAGATCAAAGAGCCCACCAGGGGAAGGCACAGGGGCCTGCTGTTACTGCTCTCTGTCTCACAATATTCAATTACCAAGCTATTTAAAAATCCAGACGGTGGCATTTTGCCATAGAGGAGGGAATAGAGCTCTAATCAATCATGGCTCTGAGTGTTTACTTCAAAACCACCCAAGCCCCTTCCCAGCCTTACAGCTCTCGTTGAGTCACTGCTGTTTCTATACCTAAGGCAATGTTCACACAGCATTTTAGGCACCTGATAATTCCCTTTGCTGTCTCTGCACATCGAGCACAGCTGTGCCACACGCAGCCCCTCCACTGCTGAGGGGCATCCCAGCACAGTGACAGGGCTGGCATGGGCCACTGGCCACAGCAGCCCTGACCTGGCTTCTTGCACAGGGCTGAGCTGACTGCCAGGCTGGCAATTAGCAACAGGGATGCACAGAGAGGGGCTTCCTCCAAAAAACATCTTCCTTAGTCTTTGCTGAAGAGCTGCCCCAAGCACCTGTGTGGGCAGGGCTGGGAAGATGGAAAGCATCTCTGTTTCTGTGCAAGTTTGGAGACTCTCCCTGCTGCAACCAAGGAGAGGAAATGACAGGCAGAGCAGAGGGAGACAAAGCTGTCCTTTCCCCAGGCAATGTGGCAGAAACATGTGGTGTGTGGAGCGATGAGCAGAGCTCCCTGGGCTCTGATAAGGGGACCTGGCCTGTGGAGGGGAAGCCTGGGAGAACATATCCATTTAGACAAGCTGAGAAACCACCTGCCTGAGCTGGGCTTCAGAAACATTCATCTTTGTGAAAACGAATGGATCTTCTTTCCTCCTGAAAGCTGCATCTCCCCTCCCTGCATTACATGCTCCATCATGTGCTTGGCTCAAAGGTAACATGAATGAATGGTCTGGCCACACTCACAGCTCCATTTTTCTTTTGGATGAATTCCACCCACAGTTTACCCTTTCACAGAGACACAGCAGTGCAGTTTGCTAGGCCAGATACTGTCAGAGAGCATAAACAAGCAGCAACAGGCAGTGAACACGAGGCTGCTCAGCTTGAAAGCAGGAGCAGCTGAGCCAGGAGGGACAGAAATGGCTTTTCCTGCACTGCGTGGTGATGCCATCCCTGACACGGGACAGGCACACCTGCTGACATCCTGCACCAAGGAAGCTCAAAGCATGGCTAAGAGAGCTGTGCAGAGGCCTGCCCAGCCCAGCAGCACTCACATGTAGAGCTGGGGGTCCGAGGTCAGCGTGTCGATGCTGATGTGCTGCTCCAGCAGGCTGTAGGCCAGGATGGGCAGCGATGTGAAGCAGATGTTGTACATGGTCAGGTAAGCAGCATCGTAGAGTGGCTTAGAGGAGGAAGAAAGGGTTACATGAGACACACAGAAAAAGGCCTCTCCACAAAGAAATGAAACCATCAATTACCAGCTCCTACATACCCTTTGTCACACAGATCCACTTCACTGGATGGGAGCTGTGCTTCTGGATGGGAGCTGTGCTCTGTGCAGTGCAAGGGGGAACAAGGCACCTGCATGCCCAGGAACTGCCCCCACTGACAGGAAGTTCTGTAACTGGCTGGTCTCATCTCCAGCTTATCCCCAGAAAAACATGGCTAAACAGCCCTTATCACAGCTTTCCTCTGGCTGCTCCTGTGCTGCCGTTTCTATTAATACATCTGATGCCTCCTGTGGCTCTCTAAAGACTAGACTGTTTTAGAGGAACTATAGCTTCTTTTTTTTAAAAAAGGCAAGTGTTTCTGCCAAAACAAGCAGAGAATTCCCTCTCACCATTTACTCTTCCTGTTACTTTTGAGCCCAAATAGACACAAAAGCCCCTTAAGTTGAGATGAAAGCCAAAGCTCTTGTCTCCAAGCACACGAACCTCTCCACATGGATCTGCCCCTCTGATTAAACTTGGATTAAACAAAGCTCTGGTAACACTCATTGTGTGTCTTTTTTTAAGAGACAAAAGAATGAACTGTTCTTCCTTCTGAGTGACATTTTTAATGCAGTGAAATGCAGCAGAGGAAACAAGATCAGGAAACCGTTTAAAACCCGTTCTTGTAAGAAAAGCAGAAGTAGCAAAATCAGGTGCTGACAAACCAGCTAAACCCTTCTCTCACTACTTCAGGAAGGTGTCAACCTGTGTTTATGGCTGGTGGATAGGAAAGGGAAAAAAGCAGATTGCTTTCTTTTTAGTTATGGTCTCAAAATATTATGTTCCAGATATGGTGCTGAGCAACAAGGTCAGCTCCTACTGTCCTCTAGAGCAAGGTGGTGAAGGACAGGATGCCAAAAGCCAAGTCTCTGCTAGGAGGCCTCATTCTGCCACTTGCTTTTTATCTTGCCTTTACAGACAAATTACTGGAAGTTACCTGCTGTGAGAATCCACAAAAGAACTGGTATAAAAACTGTGGTAAAATGAAGCAAAGGTTCTGGAAAAACAAAAGACAAATGGTCAGCAGGGAAGCACTTGACTTCTCAGTCTAAACCCAAGCAGTTTTTCCTGTTATCAGACATTAGTGTCTGACATTACAACATCAGACAAGGTAGGGCACTTGTTCAATCAAGCACAAAACCAATCCTGTGAGCAGTTAGTATCTGCAGGAGACACTAGAAGAATGCTCACATTCCCCTGCAAGCACTGTTTTCAATGGACAGGCACATGGCAGACACAGCCTGTCCCCAGGGAGGGAAAGCAGAACTACAGAATATCCCCCACATTTTTTTCCTGTTTATTATTTCATTCTACTGCCAAAGAAATGCATAAAATGAACAAAGAAATGAGCTGCACGCTGCCCCTTACCTTATAGAAGAAATACTGTACAAGGTGTGCTATTCTCACATAATACAAATGCCCATGTGCTAGTAGCAGTTTTCTTAAATGTTTAAACTTTGGCACAGCATAGTCGCTGTTTCTGGAGGCCTGGCGTCCTTCTTTGCCTTTTATCCCTGGAGACAGAAGCATGGCAAGGGTTAATCCCAAAGGGGCTGGAATCTGGATGCTGCCCACTGGGTCTGCTCACTTCACTCAGTGCCTCAAGGCGTGACAAAGGCTGAGTTTCCCTCCTGAGTGCCCCAGGAGGCCAAACATGAATACTTTCTGTGTGGTTTTGGCTCCACAACACTCAGACCTGCCTCTGGAGTTTTTTAGCTATATTTAGGCTGCTCTGTGATTTCCTGTGTAAGTGTGGTGAAGGGTGTCTAGGCAAACCTGATGAAAGACAAGGAATTGGCTCCCTGTGGGCTGGCCTGCACCTCACACAGCCCAGCTATTCCCCTGCAGCTGCCCAGCCTCCTGAGCCATCCCCACAGAGCTGCTTGGCTCACAAAAGCCACATCCAGATGGACTGCACTGGGTTCCCTTCACCAGAGGGCACCCCAGAATTTCCAAGAGCCCCCAATGAAGAACATGCCCTCTCTCTTCCCCTGACCCTCTTCAGTGGAACTACAGGAGGCCCCCAGATTCCAGACCCCAATCTGCAGGCAGCAGGAGTCTCCAGCCTGCTGTCAGTCACAGGGACAGGGCAGGCACCACCACCTGGGCATCAGCCCCAGCAAACTCCTGCGTGTCCCTGTGCTGAGCCACTGCCACCAGAGGCACTGCAGCCTGGCCCTTCCACTGATCACCCACCTGTTTGCTGCTTGTGCCCCTTTATTCCCCCAGCCCCAAGCAATCCTTACCAGCACCACTCTGGCCACAGAGTTTTGGAACACAATCTGCAGTGTATCACTGACACAGGGAATGGTGCTAGCACAGGTGAGCAGCAGATGATGATCTCATCTCTCTCTCCCACAGTGGGGATGGTAAAACATTGGCACAGGTTGCCCAGAGGGGCTGTGGGTGCCCCATTCCTGGGAACATTCAAGGTCAGGTTGTACAGGGGTCTGAGGAACTTGATGGAGCTGAAGATCTCCCTGCTCTCTACAGGAGTTGGACCCTCTAAAGGCTCCTTCCAACCCATAGTACTCCATGATTCTGTGATCTCCAGCATTAATCTGGAGTTAAAACTCTGCTTCCAGAGAAAGCAAGAGCAGACTTCCCACATTTTTCAGTGGGATTGGTTTATTCACGTGCAATCAGAAACACCAACTGCACCTCAGAAGTGAGCCCCAGCCAGAGCAGGCAGCTCTGGGCTGTAGATGGGTGTTCCAGGGGCTCTTACCTATTCCAACATGTGCTTCCAGAATCATACTGACATCATTTGCACCATCCCCTAGAGATGGGTGTTCCAGGGACTCTTACCTATTCCAACATGTGCTTCCAGAATCATACTGACATCATTTGCACCATCCCCTATCGAGAGGGTTATCGGGCTTCCTTTTGTGTTCTTCACCATTCGCACAATCTAAAAGATTTTTAAAAAGGAAAGCAGCAGAACTCAAAATTCAGTTAAAAAACCTCCAGAGACCTTCCCACTGCTCCTCCCAGGACAATCAGGCTTTTAGAGCAGCAGTGTAACACCTGGAGAGCTCAGGTTAATAAAAGCCCTCTTTACTTGCTGTGCAGCCACAACCAGAGTAAAAACCCCACCCAGCTGTGCAGGGCTGAAGGACAGTATTTAAAAACAAACCCCAGCAGCAACATCCTGCTCTTCCCTTCTGCCAGACCCTGTTCTCCCAAAGGTGGGCTCTCTCACGCATCCCAGGGTGCAGAAACACATCATTTATCAGGCTGGGACATCAGCTGCTGGAGTGAGGAAGTCACGGACTCCACTTGACAAATTTGGAAAGGAAAAAAAAGAGCAAACTGGGAGGTTTTGTTTATTTCTAATTGGCCTGGGTTTATGGGTTCCTGCCAGCATATTAAACAAAGGATTTGCATTCAGATTTGAAAGAAGGGTGTGCTTTCATCATGCCCTGAAGCTCAGATGAGGCTTACACACAGCCTGGAGAAGTCCTGCTTGATTAGGATGCTCAGGTGAAGTCCCAGCTGATGAATTCAGCGTGTGTCACTTCAGGCAGTGAGAGGTAAATACCTGTGCTTTCTGCAGAGGAGCCATCCGGCAGCAGAGGACTGCAGTGCACTTCAAGCAGATCTGCAGGAATATGCTTTTGTAATTGCTAGAGCCAGAGTCCTGAGAGGGGTTGAGTATCAGCGACAGTGTTGAGCCATCTATAATCAGTCCATACTCTTGACTCAACGTCCAGCTCCTGGGCACAACAAGGAACACATCTGAAACTTCATCAGACTAAGTCAACCTAGCTGCTTGTATCATCTTAGTGAAAAAAACCCTGGCTTTGGGTTAATCTTCTTCCCATCCATTTTTTGGGGCTTAGCAATTTTAAAAAGCTTAGACTTAGCACGTGCCCTTCACTGAAGGAAGAGTGCAATAAAGTTCAAAGCCAGGTAATACCAGAGATGATGAGCACAGCAAAGGAGCCAGTCACAGTGTCTGCAGGTACCCAGCCCCCAGCATGGTCCTACCTCTGCACCAAACCTGCAACTGAAAGGCACAAGGCTGGGTCCTGTGGCTCACTCACCTCTTCAGGCCCCCCCTGTTTTTGGGAAGGTCCTGAATGAGTTTTTTGTGGTACTCCAGCAGCAGCTCATGGAGCCGATCCTCCTTCCTGTCGCTCTCGCCCACCGTCCTGGCCGTCAGCTCCAGCAGCTCCGTGCTGGTCTGGAAGAGCCTGCAGGCGTAGCAGGTGGATTTGGCAGTCTCCATCTTGTCTCCTGTCAGCACCCAAACCTTCATGCCAGCTGCGTGCAGGGCCTCGATGGTCTCTGCCAGCTGCTCCTGCAGCCTGCGAGCAGAAGCAAAGCATCACTTCACCTCATCCACACAGCCCTGGGTCTGGTTCTGCAGCCACAAACACCAGCTCAGAGAAGGTAACTGACTTTTCCCATGCTGGGGAGACCACTGCCACAGGAGTGAGGATTACAAGTCACTAACACCAAATTTTTATTTGCAGACAAAAAGAAAAATCACTGCTTTATACTCTTGACTCTTAGGCCTCACAGTAAGAGTTTAATTTACACTTGCAGTTACTGTAACTGAATGTGGAATTGAATTTGTTTTGATGTGCAAATTAATGCTGTGTGCTTAATTCACTCTCCAGAAGTGCAAGTATTTCTGTAGTTTCATTAATAAATCCCAATTCCTACTACACCAGCCAATTTAAGCAACTAGGGCACTGTGAAATGGGTTGTGCCACGGTGTAATTAATTGTCCTGGACATTGCCAGCTTCTGCCTGGCTGCTCAGCTCCACCAGGGCGAGTCCAGGCCACAAGGCCACGTCACAGAGAAACCACAGGCACCACAGTGCTGCTGCTGCAGCCACCTCCTTACCTGTCCTCTACAGCAGTAGCCCCAATCAGGTGCATGTCTGCCTCTGTGTCATCAAAAACCTTGGCCATCTTCTCCTCCCTGTCCTGCAGAGCCATCTTGGCTTCATTGAGCTGTCTGTCAATTTTGTCATACTCCTTTTCAGTTAGCTCTTTGAAGGCCACACAGAGTGTTCGGTAGCCATCCTGGCAGTGGGAGGGAAAGAAAACAAAGTGGACAAATGCCCTGAATCCAGATTTTTTACAGCTCCTCACTTCAGGGTTGGTGCTTTTGTCTACCCTCAGTGCTTCTGGCAGTACGGGCCCTGAGGGCAAGGATAATTTGTTGGCTTGTGTCAAAAGAGCAATTTTCTGCATTTATACAGAGTAATCGTGGTTCTGCCTGTTATGTGCAGAAAGAAAGCAAGAGAAGGAGCAGGGCTGGGAGGAGCCAGCAGGGAGAGCAGGACTGGGTGCCACCATGACTGGGACCAGGCTGCTGCTGTTACTTCTATTTTTAACTTGCCTGGGAGATGCTTGGACAACTGTGATGGAGACCATATAAGTATATCAAATAAAGGTGGAAGCCAACCAAACAGAAAAGGAAAGAAGCCTGGCATCAAAACAATGTGAAGTGACACTCACATTTCCAACACTTCACTCCAAAGCAAGGTCACATCCCTATGTTTGGAATAAGGCTTTCCTGACCCCAGGAGCCAGCCAAATTCCACCCGTGTGCTCACCATAGCATTGCGGTCCACATGGACTTTTGTTTGTTGGATTTCTTCTTGCTGCACCCTTGGAAAAATAGAGGAGTCTGCTCCTTTACAGAAGAGAAGCAACTTTCCTAAAAGCAAATCATAAATAGTTCATAGCACTCACAAGCTGCAGAAAGAGTTAACCATGCCAACAGCAAGCAAGTGCTGCAGAGGGAGGAAATCTGGGAGGACTAAAGAGGGTACTGCTAGAAACCCAACTGCCTACCAAAAATGGCCTTTGCTCAGCCTGTGAAACTCCTCTGGCCGAGACTCTGGGTGTCCCTACCTGCCTCTGAGCAAGTTTTCTGCAACAGGCTGGACATTGTATCTGTAAGCTTTGGCAACCTTTCCAGGGAGGGTAAAAGCAGCATCCCAAACCTTGCAGGACTGACACTTGAGAAGGATGGTGACCTCTGAATTGTTGTCTGTTATTCCCATGAAATCCCATCCCACCCAGGGGACATTCTCACATGTCTTCCTTGTGCTTGTTCCAGCCTGGAACAAGGCAGGCAGGGAGCTCTCCATGGGTCACTGTTCTCATCCCCTGATGTGCTGCTGGTCCCAAACAGCTCCCATGAAAGAAAATTAACTCTACAGCAAGCAGCCCCAGTACAGAATTTAGTTAGACCTGCCTAGAAAACCTAAGAGCTCAGCCTGTGTGGGTGACAGGAAGGAGCAGGATGTGCCTTACAGCTGTGCACACAGGCAGGAGAGCCCACAGATCACTGTGCCTGTACCTGTGCTGGTTCTCACAATGACACTCATGCGGCGCCGCACAGGGTCGAAGTTCAACACGTGGAGAAGTTGGTACCTTTAGAGAAAGAGAAAAAAGCTTTGACTCAGTAAAGGAAAATAGAAAAATAACTATATCAGACAGAAAATCACTAACAATGAGCTGCAGAAATCAATACACCCTACAAGTGGCAGCAGCCACCTGGGAATTAATTTTACAGCTAGTGCACAAGAAAATGGAGGAAAAAAATCCAAATTGCAATAGTCCTATGGTGCTCTGAGCATGGGACTGAGGGTGTGGGTACCCACCAGGGCACTGAGCCCCCAGGCTGGGCAGGGGCTCAGCAGGGAATGGGGCACCACATGCCACAAGCAGTAACACTGAGTCTCACAGTTAAATAAGTAGTTTCTTCATTAAGGAAGTAAGAAGTGAAACTGGCTTGTGAAGGCAAGTTTTCAGGGAGTGCTGGGATTGGGTCAGTGACTCACAGATGTCCACCAAACTGTGAGCACAGGATAAAATCTAACTATTTTCAGCTTGGGAGGGGAAAAATGGTTACAGAGAATGGAGCCGTGTCACGAGTTCAGGCTGACAGTGTCCTGCTGTGAGCCCCAGCCACGGCCCGTAAGGTCAGCAGCCACCTCGTGAATCCCAGGAGCCACCTGCACAAGCTGGTGCAGATGAAGGATACCTACAAAGGACTGCAGGCTCTTGAGGGACCTGAATTTAGACATGAGAAAACCACCCGTGGTTTTCTGCAAGTGACTCTTTTTGCCTACAGCTTGACGTGCTGTGCTTTGTAAATGGGACAGCAGTTTTGGGGCAGGTCAGCACGGTCTGGCTGCCCTCAAGGAACAGCTTTGACCTTGCCAGGTTGACCAAACTCGATTAGCTGGGTGGGAGTGGTGCAGAAGAGCAGCCCTGTCCCTCAGCAGCCCCAGCAGCACTTACATCTCAGTTTCATTCTTTTGGTTTCGTATTTTCATGAAATTGTTTTCAAGTCCTAGAAAAGTGAAACCATACCTGTCAATAAACAAAAGGACAGAAGAGCATTGAAAACACCCATTGGCACATATCATACATAATAATGTTCTCATTTCACCTCTGCACTGCAGAGGAGAGCTCGGTGAGCCCGAGCTAAGGCTGGATGTTTGTTTGCTCCATGCAGAGCCTGCTATGATGTCCTGGAACTGCTCCCATCCCCTGGAGAGCCTGGGCACTGGAGCATACAGACAGAGAGCCTCTGGACACGGTCCACTGGCTCTCTGGCAGCTTTACAAGCCATGAGCAAGTGTACACAGCTGCACCAGCCTCCATCTGAAGCGAGGGGCTGGCAAGAGCACAGAGTCACCAATGGTTTGGGCTGGAGAGGTCACCTAATCCCAAAGCCCTGCCATGGGCAGGGACACCTTTCACTAGACCAGGCTGCTCCAAGCCCCACCCAGCCTGCCCTCGAGCATCTCAGGCAGGATTCAAATGTGGGACTGACAGAAGTAACCATCCTATTATTTTGCCACTGCATGGCAAGGAAAAAGTTTCACTGCAATATGCACATGGTAACTGGTCTCTGTTTCTAGGGGACTCAAGCACAAGGCCATGTGAGCTCCAGCAAAGAAGCCTGTGCCACAGCTGGGCACAGCAGCACCCTGGGGCTGCTCTCAGTGAATGCAAACCATGGCCTCCTAGGGAGCTGCTCAGGGAAGAGCCTTTACAGAGCACCCCTTTAACAGAGAGCTCACTTAATCCCACAGGCTCACAGCACTGCAGCTCAGCTTCAGCAATGGTATCACAACATGCTTCCCCAGAGAGACCATGGAAAGGGGTCTGTCACCTTCAGATCATGCTCCCTCCTTCCCACCAGAGAGAGGGAAATAAAGAGCCAACATCTTCATATTCTTACTTCTCTGCGCCTTTCACCAAAGCGATTTCATCTGGGGAGGAGGAGATATAGGTGTATTTGCGTTCTGGGTGTGCCATCAGCCCATCCACCTGGTCTGCCTCCTTGATCTGCACCGTGTGGCACAGGCACAGGGCTCTCAGGAACAGCTCCTCACGGCTCTGGGCAGGAGGGAGGGAGGGCTCGTTACCAGCTGAACACCCAGCCAGGAGCTGGCCACCAAACCCTTACAGCCATCAGCACGCACACCTCCTACCTTCTCAGCCTTGCCATAGTATTTGAGGGGTCCATCGGTCTGGGAGAAGCCATCCACCTCTGTGATGCAGTCTTTGTACTTGTGCCCGTCGATGCAGCACTCGATGAACTCCATGCTGTTCTCTGTCAGCGTCCCGGTTTTGTCTGTGAACACGTACTCCACCTGCAAGCACCAGGCAGCTGCCACAGGGCTGGGCAAGGAGCCCCCAGAACAGAGCCTGGGGCATTTCAGTGTGTCTGTGCCAGAGCGGAGGGCACTTGGCTATCCTAACCCAATGCAAGACACAGCTGCCCCACTGCATCACTGCAGTTCTGCTACTTTGCTCCTTTGGTTTTCAGGCTGTTGCACAGGTGGCAGGAGGCAGCTTCTGAAGACTTAAAATCTGTCTCCAGGCTCTTCACTTTCCCCTCATTCTCTTTCTTGGGTTCTCTGCTAAAGCCCTAGTGCTTACAGAACTGCTGCTGCAGGTCTGCTGCCTCCTTTGGGGATTTTCATCTCAGAGCTGTATTTCAATTAGCTAATTGCTACTCCAAGTGCAATTTTATTATTGTTTTTAAAGCAAAATCAAAAGCAGGAGGCACTACACATGCCCTGCACTCATCTCTCCCACTGCAGATCAGAGAGGGAAGCCTGAGCTGTCTAGGTGTCCCAGCGAGGCAGCAGCAGCACAGCTGCACGTGCTCTGCACGCCCAGGGAGATGACTGGGCAGACATTTCCACTAATCCTCAAAGAGACAGAGGATTTTTAATTTTTAATTGAGGCAGTGAAAGCAAAGCACCCTGACACGCAGAGCGCTGCGCCTGATATTCCCCAAAATGGAAACAATCGGCGTGACCCAATTCCTGCTCTTTCATGCACTATTTATAACCTTATCTGGCTGGCAGAGCCAGTGGAATCACATCAAATGGAAAGTGCCACCACAGCTCTGGGTGAAGCTCTGGCCCGAGGGGACTGCCAGGGATTGCCACAGCAAGGCTCCTGGCAGGGAGGGCACCTTCAGCCCCGTTTTCATCCCGACAGACGCAAACACAGCACGCTCTGACCTGCCCCAGCTCTTCATTCAGGTCCGAGGTGTTCACCAGTGCTCCCTCTTGTATCTCTTCGTCATACATCTCCTTGTCCCAGGAGATGAAGAAGGAGCCCAAGAACTTCTGCATCTCCACTGTGACGTACATGGAGACTGGGATAATAAAATTGAAGAGGACCATAAAGGACAGGAAGTCCGTGAACATCCGCAAGACCTGCAGAGGAAAGAGGAGAAGATGCAGCCTGTGGCTGTCAGGACACAGGGGCAGTTTGCAGCAACACCTCAGGGATTCTAGGTAGCTTCTCAGAAGAGGTTAAATAGGAAAGAACAACATGAAAATGAATACAGCTGAGATACAGAGCTAAATCCCATTTTCCTTTGGCACAGAAAATCCCACTGTCTTCTGCAGTTACCAGGAACACAAGCACATCTCACTGCTTCCTAGTGACTACAACAATGTTTCATAAGCACATTCCTCTCAAGAATATACTGCTACAGGCTCATCCTGACCCCAAGTCACCAGAAAAAAGGAGCAGGTGGCTTGAGACCAGTCAAGCTGTGGCAAGGGTACAAGTGTGCAGTGACATCCCTGTACATCACCCATCAACTCAATAACCCATCCAGTGAAGATCTCTACACACTTATACTCACTCTCTCAGGCTTGACTGCCCACGTCTGGGCAAGTTTAACAAACTGGTTGACATGGCCTCAATTTAGGTTTACCTATTCATAAAAGATATCTCGAGTTCAGATGAGGACCCAGGTTACATCAGCTGCATTTCTACATTATACAGAATTTATTTATGCTGTGCCCCTGTTCCACACAAATACCACTGTGCACAAGCACAAGAGGGGCACACAAGAAGCACAAACAGCAGGAGAGACCAAAGGAAACAACAGCACTTTGTGTGAGCAAACAGGACTCCCAGGGCTGGCAGCAGGCACTATCAGATGAAACTAAACAGCCAGAGTAAGTAAAGCTGAAATACAAATGCACTTACCTTGAACGTGTCTCTCTCTTTTTTAGTCTTTTCGTTGTACCAAGGCTCATCATTAAATGGATTACTCTGCCAGACGTATTTCAGAGTTGTGCACACAGTGGCCTTGCCCAATAGGATGCACAAATACACTATCAAGAAGGCGTTGATGGATCTGAAAAACAGGTTTCTTTTTTAAATTCTTGCAGCTATTTTTGTCAAGAAAAACATGTAAATAGACAAGCACAAGACTTCCTTACTTTTAAGAAGGAATTACAGAACAAGTGCTTTTGACACTGCTGATATTCAGGGTCAGGTTCATATATTTAAACATTCTTAATTTTGTTTTTAAATAAAAAAGCTACTAAATGATGCTGCTTCTTGCAAGATATGCTTTATCAAATGCCCAGATTTTTCTATGCAACCAGAGAGCATCTGAAACAAAAGGCAGCAGATTAGGGGGATTACTTCTGTACAAGCCATCCACTAAAAACAAACCCAAATCCAACAGGTTTTACTTTTTTCTGAATATAAATACTCACTTCTCTACTGCAGACCGTTTCTGAGATTTCCCTTGGTAGTTGAGAGCCATTTTTGTTTCCATCCCAGTGTAGACTGCAACTCCTGCAGGCATCAAAGCAGGGCTGGTAAGGGACCCAGCTGGCACTGGGCCATCAGGGGCACCGGTGTTTACATCCAACTGCAGTCCCAGCTGAAGGAGGAGGCATTACCCAAGGGCTGCTCAGCTCCAGAAGCCTCTGAGGCTGCTAAGGAATGCCACTGCTGTACCCCAGAGCATGAGCAGGAGCCCACGGATCACACAGAGCCAGGGGAAGCATCAGCCTCCCATCACACCCACACCAGTGTCTGAGGCTGTGCTCCCAGCAGAGGATCTGGGGACAGCTCCTTGCTCATGGTGTTTCAGGCAAAAGGAAAAGCTTGCTCGGGTGTGTTAACAGCCCTGCAGATAGAACCAGTGCCTCCTAATTGCACCCTGGCCACTGTGCAACCAGCTTGCAGGAAAACTGCAGCTGTACAGCCCAGGCAGACAGGCTGTAGAGAAGTGTGGTCCCTCTCCAGATTCAGTAGTGAACATCTACATTTGCCACCACCTATCAGAACTATTTAAATAAACAAAAATAACTTCACCATAAATCTTCTTGGTATTTTTGAGGGTAGCACCTTTCAACAACAGGTTTTCAGGACCCAAAGACCTAAACATAAAATAAGTTATAACATTACATCACTCAAAGAACATTCAAACTACTTTATAAATTAGAATTAGAAATAGAATAGAAAGACAAACAAAGTTTCCTTAGGTCTGATTACATTATTTGTTTGTTAAATTGGGGCCTTGCTTGAGTTTGTTTTTCTCTTTATATAACTACATTTCCATTTCCTCTTACAGATACTATCCCTGATGCAAGATTCCACTCTTATTGTGGGACTTTCAGTAAGGCTTGTGAGGAATAATTGCAAAAAGTTCAGATCCAGTATGTTCCAGTACTCATATAAAAATGCAAAGTTAAAATCATCAGAAGCCTGTCCATTCCAGCCCAGTCAGTCAATGGCACCATCAAAGCTGACAGCCCCATTTTATTTCTCTTTGAGACCCCCAGCTTCCCTGCTGCTCCCAGGGTATGAACAGACCCACCAGAGCACAAAAGCCATCCAACATGCTCTGGTGAGAGCCAGCTGTTTTGGATGGCTTTTGAACATCACTCACTCATTTCTTCCGTGGAACATTCTGACTGATGTTTGAGTTCTTGCTTACCTTCCACTGACAATATTTTGTCATTGCCTGGTAAATTTGTGCCCCACCAGCAGGACAGGACATTACCAGGTGGTCCTGCACCGATTCCCCAAAAGGGGCTCAAACAAATCAGGATGGCAGAAGGGAGGCTTCCTTTTAGAATTAAATCTTTGGAATGGTTAAAGAAAAAAATATTCCCAAATGATGGCAGGACAAGCTCAGATCTCTGAAATTCTCTGTAGATGCCCAACCCCTCTGAGGAGGGCTAACAGGCAGCTGCAGGACCAACCTGGCTACAGGCTCTTGGTTACTTCCATAGATGATAATCCTTCCAACAAATCTGTGATAAAATATGAAAAACTTGTATTACAAACATACTATAGACACTACAAACATAACAAAGAAAAGTCATTGACAGGAAATGGAAGCAAATCCATAAACAAGTGAATTTGAGAGCTTAATGTTTCAGAGGGGTGGCTGTGCTCAGGACAGGGAGAAGCCACACAGCCCTCATGCTCAGGGCTGCTTACACACCCCAGCACATCCCAGAAAACCTCCCCAGGGGATCTAGCCACAGGGGCCACTTACTCCTGGTAGTCATTCAGCCCAATGAACCTTACAGGGAAGGTAAGAGCAGCCCAAAAACAGGTACATGGACCATCACTGCTGCTGAGCTGACAAAAAACAGCTCATTGCACCACAAAAACTTTTGCACAGGGGAGGCTTTTCTGCAAAGACACTGAGCTTTGAAGACTTTGCCATGCTCATACAGAGCAGACACAGTAGCTTGTCAGTGCCTTGAGACACCTTCTGGTCCCTGACACAAAGAAGATGAACTTTGCTTTGCTGAGCTGCAGATCCCCAAGTGACGGTGCTGAGCTGTCTGCAGGGGGATGACCCAGGCAGCTGCAGGGCAGGACAGGCAGGGGGGCAGGCAGGAGGGACAGACTCACTTGTAGAGGTCGGGTTGTGGCTGTTCACACTCGATTGTGGCCGTGAGGGTGTCGATGGCTTCATCGGTGCAGAGCACGGTGGTGTCCCGCACCGCGTAGTGAGTCTGCCACAGGAGCACAGGCACTGTCACCACAACCCCAACAGCAATCCCATCCTCACGTTTTACACCCCATCACTTCAAATGTGCCACCGTGCACAAGCCTGCCAGCACCAGCAGCTCTCCCAGCCCTCACCACGCTCCCACAAAGCATTCTGTCAGAGAAAGAATGAAGTCACCAGTGCTAAGAGAAACCACAGTAGCAAGCAGCTGCTGGGTGTCTCAGTAAGGCATCCACCAAAAGCAGAGCATCCTTGGGTTTTCCCTGGGGACTTGCCCTGGCTGGGGTGGAGGGGAGGCCGCAGGTGGCCCTGTGAAGAAGGGGCTCACCACCTGAGCTGGTTCCTGACGGTAATGAGACACCAGCTCCAGCAGCAGGGACCAGGCAGAGCACTGGCAGACTCCAAGCTATTTTTAGCAGCTGCTGCTGCAAAGGTTCATCTCTCATAATTAACTGAAAAGCCCACAAAGGATCTGCTCGCTGCCTTTCAGGCTCTATTTATAGGAGCTACTCCGAGCTCCAAGTCACGGCGGGCTGCACGGCAGGCTGCCTCGATCCATCTTCATAAACAAATCCATTAAAGCGCTTCCTCCGCTCCTGACGTGCATCCCTTCCCTGCAGCCCGGGACTCACACACGCTGCAGCCACGGCAGGAGCCATCCCCTGCTCCGTGTGCTCTGCTGGCCTGCCTGCCTCTTCCAGCACACATGGATGGATCACAGCTTTGGTGAAACACAAGTCAAAACTGCTCCTGCAGCGCCCAGCACCAAACCCAGCCCTCATGTGGGGTTTTGCAATGCTCCAGCAGCAGAGACACTGCAATCCCTGAGTGATACTTCAAAGCCACCTCCCAATCAATTCCATGGTCTTTACATCCTTTAGTGCTTTTAGAAAACACATGTTCTGTTAGCTAACGTATGGCCAAAGATTTGTGCTTCAAAGACAGAGCCCTGACAAAATCTTTCACGTTTCTACTCCAGTTTCACCCAGACAGACACCTTTCCCATACCCCAACCTGACATGCCCCAAATGCCAAAAAACTCCCACCAGGAAGGCAGCCAATACCCTGCAGATGAGGTCTGCTGATTACCCAAACGTGCTTCCCTCACCCCCTTTTGCAGCAAACCCTGGTTCCTAATGTTAGATCTATCTCCCCAAACAGAGCTGGCTTTTCTATTCCCTCTCCCCCTTCAAACTCATCTTCACCTCCTCTTGAAACAAGAGACAGCTCCCAGTCACCTACAGGAACCCACAAACCAAGAAAAAAACACCACAGTGCTTGATATAGAAACTCAGCATCACATCTCCAGACTCACAAGTTAGTAAGAGCCAAGATTCTGCAAAAGTAATGTGAACTCATGCATATAATACACCTGACACAAATAAGCAATAGCCTTTTAACATGGTTAGCTATTTTTAGCCTCAAGTCACTTCAAAGCTCCAACTCCTCCTCACTAGTGAAACCAGCACTGTGCCACCAGCTCCCACTCAGGTTATCCAGCACCAGCCAACAGCTGCCCATGGAGAAGAGCCACAAATCCCAGACAAACACATCAGATCCACAGCGGTATTCCCACTGACTTCAGAGTGTGCTGGAATGAATCACATCATGGTAAAGTATTTTCCAGTCCTACTACTGCAGCTGCTAGTATCTGTATATTTATCAAATATACTTAGCATATTGTTATAATATTATTATATTATGCATTATACTTATGCAAATATTTATCAAACTCAAGTGCAACCAAACATTCATGTCTTCTGACGTATATTAGCTCTTTGTTGTTGCTTCTTTCCCTTAGTTTAGAGAAGGGGAGATAGAGAAAGAAAGAAAATAAACTGGAGATATTCATCCTGAGCAAGACTAGTATGAAGTTTCACTGCTTGCTTCAGGGAAAGGGAGGGAAAATCCCAGAAGCGATGCTTTTCTCACGCTGGTGAAAATTCCCCAAATGAATCTAGACATGCTGCCCCAAAGAAGTCCCTGCTCTCGCTGGCAATGCTTGGTTAAGGAGCAGGAGTGCTGGCAGGGCCTGGGAAGGGGCTGGAGAGCTGCAGGCACTGCTCCCCAGAGGCAGCAGAGCTCCCAGTGTGGCTGCAGCAGGGAGCCCTGACACGCTGCCTGCGCTGGGCAGCAGGGCTCTATCAATAAATGGCAATCCAATTTGGGGCAGCACCAGCAGCAACAGCCCTGGCAGACAGAGCAGAGCACAAACCATCCCTCAGGCTCACTGCTGACGCACCAGCAGCACACAGGAGCAGGAGCTGCTCGAGAGCCGCGCAGCCACAGGGATGGGCTCCATGGCAGCACCTCCAGCTCAGCACAGCCCCCTCCACCCAAGTAGGGCCGTGCCCAGGTAGCCAAGCACCAGCTCCCCACGCTGCCCCAGCCAGACCCTGACCTTGAAATTGGACTCGCCGTCAAGGCTCGCTGTGGTGACGTAACAGGTCCCATCAGTGCTGCTGGAGGCCAAAAATATCAGGTCACAGGGGAAGGTCTCATCTGCTTTCACTTCTACTATGTCTCCAACCTGGGAGAAAGGAAACATTCACATGAAAAGCCCTCTGAGTTATGAGATGAGTGTGATTCAGCTTCTCTCAAAGCCTAAGAGGCAAGCTGGGGTCCAAGAGGAGCACAGATCCCTGAACATCACTCCAGAGGCTGATGGGATGACCCAGCCCTGCACTGACTCAGAGCACCCACGTGGCACAGTCAGTGTTTATTTCTCTGCTAAATCTTGATGGAGCAAGAGACTGTACTTGCCTGAAGTGCAGTGTGATAAATTAACATCAAAGCTAAGTGTACTCTCCTGGTGTCCTTGGGAGAGCAGGAAATAGAAGAGGACTGCCTGTCCTGGAGAAGTGCAAAATGCTGACAGATCTGTCACCTGTCAGCCCCGGTACAGCTTTTGTGAGACAGCTTTTCAGAAGAAATCAAAGGCAGCTTCACTCCTTAACCGGGAACAGCTCTGGGAGCATCTCATCTGAAAGTGAGCAAGCTGGGGCAGCTCTAACCCAGGACACCACTCCTGCCCTGCCCTTGTCCCCTCAGCACACAGCTCTGTGTTCCCATCAGCCCCAGTCAGAGCCACATGCAGGCTCTCAGTTAACAGTTACCTTGATTTTTTCACTCTCTTTCCGCACTTGCTTTGCATTTTCCACAACAAAGACGTTGCTCTTGTTCACTTCGTTGTCAGCTCTGTGCCTCAACCAGTCCTCGTACCCCTAAGGCACAGACAAACTCATAAAGTGAGTAAACTCATGAAAAAGGCTCAACCAGTCCTCGTACCCCTAAGGCACAGGCAAACACAAAGTGAGTAAATTCATGAAAAAGGAGTGAGGATCAGAGGGACACATGAAAACAATGAATAAGGCAACCGTCCTCAGACCTCCTTCATGCCTGACAAAACATCAACCAGAGTGGCTCAGACTGAATCAATTCATTTAAAAAACCTTCATATGCATATTTGACAGATTCAGAACAGATTAAAATAACACAAAAATAATCTATATGCGGGGCATGCAACAAGCAGCTAAACTACTGTAACACATTTCTATTATTCTCAGCTTTGGTAAGAACAGACTGATAATATGAATAATACACTCAGCAGCCTGCAACTCTTTCCTATGGTAACGCAGGATGAGACTCTTCCTCTCCTGTCTTTACTGGAAGAATAAGCATTGAGATTTGAAGCAGATAGATTTTATTCTAGCTCTCTCTTTCCAGCCCCTGTAGATGAAACTTCTTTTTTTATTATTCACTCAGGAAATTTTAAATGGCATGTGTGCCTGTGATGGGAGGCAAAAGGTCTTTTCACACTGCAAGAAGATGAGGAGTACACGTTTTCAGGACTAGCTGAGTGGCTGAACAGAACCTGTCCTTTCCACCTACCAACATGGGAGCAGAGCGTGGGCTGTATTTGGAGCACGTCTCTGCAAGGACTCAGGGAGTGTTTCCAAGAAGAGGAAAAACATTCAAATAACACCAGACCTACAGCAGAAAGCTTTACTGACCCTCATGGCCCGCTTTCAACAGCACAGGGATGCTTTACACTGCCAGAACAGGAGACACCAACCCCCACACTCAAAGTGCAGCCTCTCTTGAAAAGCACCAGCACCGTCTCACCCTCTAAGAGGGTGCACCAAACCTACCAGCTCATGTCGGTGGCTTCTGAGCACATTTAAATACATGCTTCTCTACCTGTCTCAAAGAGCATCTCCCCCCCACACCGACAGCTGTACCTGTTTGATAGCTGTGACAGTGATGACAAAGAAGAGCGGGAGGCCACTGGTCACAGGGCTGGTTGGGGTGTCCACTATCACCTGCAGGGAGAAAAACATTGCTGAGCCCTGGGTTTCAGGCAGCAGAAGAAACCAAGACTTTGGTTATGGGGGGAAAAGGGTGCTTATCCCACTGAGGGCAGGTCAGAGCCTAGCAGGGGAGAAAGAGAAGGAAGGGCTGGTGATGAAAGGGAGGGAAGCACCAGTCATCTTGAACCACTGACATTGGGAGGCTAAAAATAACAGCCATCAGCCCAAATTACCTACGAAATATACTGCAGAACAGAACATGAATATTTAAGTAAAACAGAACTCCAGGCTTTGTCTTAGGCTCTCAGATTTGGAGCTCAGAGGATGATGTAGGCACCATGGCTGCAGAGGGGCCCTGGGGCAGAGCTGGATCCTTCCTGAGCTCACTGCAGTGCTCGAGCCAGCACCAAGGGAAGACCTTAATCACCAGTGAAACCTGCAGGCTGTGGGAAACTGCTGCTGCTCCTGACTGGACCAGGACGTGGCCCAAAGGGTAAGAATGGTTCATAAGGGGCAGGGAGCACTTCCCACCTCCCAAAGCAATACAACACAAACTGGTCATGCTCCCTGCTGCTCCAGGAGAGACTGGGAGCACGAGCAGCAGATGAGGGCTCTGATGAAAGGGACAGGGAAGCTCAGCAGAAAGGCTTTGTGTCCCCACAAAGGGACTTTTGTCTCTTGTTTGTGCTTCCCCAGCACGCTCACATAACAGCAGCATTTGGATATTTATTGTTTCAGGCTGCCTGTAAAAAGCTGTGCTAAGGACAGGACTGCTCTTATCAGCTACGTGGACGTTTTTGACTATGAAATGCTGTACACTGCAATATTACCCTGCATTACTGAGCCCAGAGAGAACAGCCAGAAGATTCTGAAGTGGAAGAGATACACCACAAGAAGCAGCCAGATAAATGGCAGATGAGTTAAGCAGCAGGAGGGTAAACCAAGATAAACACCAAAAGTATTTCCAGGTACACGAAGCCCTGTCTCACTCAAATGGGTGTAAAGTGCTCCCAAGCAGAAAGTCTGGTGGAAACCACACTTTGGAGGAACAGCTCTGAGCAAGGATAGTGCCAAGTGTCACACACTACACTGCACACGTGATGGCCACTCACCAGGGCAGTGTCACGAAGCTTAGGCCAGTAAGCCAAAAGTTATCTTGCAAAAATTGGACAGGTCTTGGGAATCCAAAAAGAACTTTGGCTTTCTGCTGAGAAAGGCAAAGTGGAGGACCTCCTGCTGCCCAGCAGGACAGTTTCCTGCACTGGACAAGTTATAGTTGTATGTATTTATATTTAAAAAGCACAATTTCTGTCCACACAGATATAGGAACATAACATCAGATGAAGTGCTGGAATAATTCGTGTATGTATTTGGAGTTTGGACTCCCTGCAAAAACCCTGTGGTTGGACACTACTCTTCCCCTTTGTGGCTTGGTGAAAAGCTGAGGGACACACAAGCAACAAGCCAGGAGAAAGGCAGATGCCTCTGAAACTATATTTGGACTGGTTTAGGACTTCAGCAGCTTAATTTGAATCCACTTAAAAGTGACAAAGTCCTCCTGTTACTTAAGAGTTTCTTCTTAGGAGATTCCTTAGGGCACTAAGGACCACACTCCAAAAGTCACCTCCAGTTTCCTCCTCAAAGAGACTCTCTGCAGGTTCCTAAAACAGCTTATTGCCACCAGCTTGTTCTGTCTACAAACACACTGGGACTGTGCTCACTCCAGGCCAGCCCCTTCTGCCAGGAGATTCCCTGCAGGCTCCCGTGAGAGCTGCAACAGATGAACCAAAGGAATTTGTATCTGTTTGTGTGCAGAGTGTTTTACGTTGAATGCACCTACTTTGTCTTACAAAGAGCTGGATCTGCAATCACAGAGAGACAGATATTTTGATTAAATGTTTCACAACAGGTAGTGCAGGTGCACCAGGCAATTCCTCCAGCACTGTGACACTGCACTCCTCATGCAGCACTCAGTGGGGACAACCCCATTAGCTTACAGACATTTAAATGAATCTTTATATTCAAGATATAGGTGACATTTTTCAAGACATAACCCTTGGTATTCAAAATGAGTGGAGTGGCCCTGAGTGCCTTTTTAAGGCAAGTCATGTCCCAGCATGACAAGCACCTGGGGGCAGGGGGCTGCTCTGTAAGCAGCCAGTGGATCAGGGCTGCCAGGCTGGGCTCTGCTCAGCTGGCTTTGTTTGTTCTCTACTTCACCACGAGGGCTGTGTCCTGATTTTAGAGGTGCTCACAGAATAAAGGCAAGGAGGAACAGCCAGGCTCTTCTCTCACCTGCACAGACCTGTGCCTAAAATGGGCAAGCAGCTAGACAAGCCCGGTTTGTAGCTATAATCAGGAATATTCCATGTTCTCCACGGCCAGAGGGTCAATAGATAAAATGTAATAGCACGTCACTAAGTGGCCAGCTACACAAAAAGGACATCCTGACTCCAGGGTATCGCTTCAGTTCAAGGCAAATTACAAATTGGGTCTGACAAAATGGAGCAACGCCAGCGAAATGAAGAGATGGAGGCAAGCCAGCTGACGGCAGAGTAAATTGGCCTTTCGTGTCACACTGCCAGAGGAGCCACACACGGCCGTGAGGGATCCCTGCTCCTGCGGCAGCCAGAGCGACTGGAAATCAGAGCCCCTTACTGCACAGGCAAAACATTCCAGGCGCTCATCGTTTAAACAGGAGCCTGGGAGAGCGTGATAGCTCCATGCTGAGAGCCACATCCCCGTCCCGAGAGCCACGGCCCAGGCCCGAGAGCCACGGCCCAGGCCCGAGGGCCACATCCCGGTGCGGAGAGGCCACATCCCCGGCCCGAGAGCCACGGCCCAGGCCCGAGAGCCACATCCTGGTGCGGAGAGGCCACATCCCCGGTGCCCGAGAGCCACGGCCTCCGAGAGCCCACGGCCCCGTCCCGAGAGCCACATCCCCGGTGCCTGAGAGCCACGGACCCCGAGAGCCCACGGCCCGGTGACGAGAGCCACGGCCCCGGTGCCACAGAGCCCACGGCCCCCGAGAGCCCACAGCCCGGTGCCGAGAGCCACGGCCCGGTGCCGAGAGCCCACGGCCCCCGGTGCCCGAGAGCCACGGCCCCCGAGAGCCCACGGCCCCCGAGAGCCACATCCCGGTGTCGAGAGCCACGGCCCCCGGTGGTGCCCGAGAGCCCACGGCCCCCGGCGGTGCCACAGAGCCACCAAAAAGCTCTTACCTGCACAAGAAAGATGATGAGGAAGTAGAAGTTGGCAATTCTTCGAAACTGCTCAAAAAGGTTCTTCGGGAGGAAGTTCCAGAGGGTGTACTGCAGGGAGAGAGGGGCACTCAAACACAGCGAGGCACGCGGCCGACACGGAGCAGAGCCACAAACGAGCACAGAGGGGAGAGCAGCTCTGCTCTGACACGGCAAGGGGAGCACAGCGAGCTGGCTGAGCAGCCTGCAGGGCTCCAGAGCCAAGCCAGGAGCACAGTGCAGCTGGTGCTGAGATGCCACCAAATTCCTGCTCCAAATTCCTGCTCCAGCTCTCTCTGCTGGAGCGCTGAACAGTCAGGAGTGGCTCACAGTGAAACAACTTTAAAAAATTCATTTGTACACAGGTGATTTCATTACAACATAGCCCACAGTGGATACATCTTCTCCAAATTCCCAAAACCATCTTAGAGCTGCTTTTGTTTAAAAAAAAAGGGAAAAAAAGCCATGCTTGCCCATACAAATTCAGCATTAGGTTGTGCTTCATTATAATTTTAAGAAGGCTGCTGAATCATTTACTTTGGAAAGCATGTGAAATTGAACAACAACATGGAAAATAATGGGTCTAATATGTATCTTTCAGTCTGTCTGGAATAAAAAAATAAGCAGTCAAGTCTCAAGACCAATGTCCACTTAATTATAAAGAGACAGGTCAGGTCCCAGGCCTAGCAAATGTAAAAGGAAAAAAGAGCAAGGACATAACATTCAAAAATAAATCAAGGAAGAACTAAAATTAGTGCTAAAGCAAACCATTTGTCAGGGAGGGAGCTGAGCTGGGGGAAGGTATTCTCACTGAAAGCCCCTCCTGTGTGCCAGGGAAACATCAATGGCAATGCTACACAAACTAAACATGGACAGAATGAAAGCTTTTCCCAAAAATAAACCCAGACATTCAAAAACAGATAAGATCCAAGATGTACAAAGAAACAAAGGAGAGGGAAAAACCCTTTTGCAGCTCAAGTACAGCAAAACTGAAGCCTAAGTGTATGCTGAGCACTGGCATACGTATCCAGCTGTGTTGACAATATGGAATGCCACTTGTTTGATATTTTACTCAAATTGGCTTCAAATCTTTAGAAATAGCTTCATGAATGTCATGGAAAAAAGCTAAGCAGAAGGCAGATGGGTGTCATCACAGTTTTCCACCATAAACAAAAGCTGCATTAATACCATATGAATGTTTCCCCCCCTTTCATCCAAAGGGATAAACAGAGCATGGTTATTTTTGTCCTATCTCAAGAAAGAAAAATCCCACAGAATAAAATTTAAAAAAAAAAGAGGGAATCATATTTTTTGGTCCCTTTATAAAATAATGCCACTTCCTTTTACAAATCTGAGCTGCTGTTATCTCACACTGTATTATACAGCTAACCTGTCTCTTCTTCCCAAAGGGGATGCCAGAAAACTTTAAAAAACACACCAAAAAAATCCCCAACCCCACAAAATCAATGTGTCCATGTGCTTTGCTCCCATCCAGCCTACAAGAAAGGAACTTGTCCACACTCCCACTACCACTGAGAGGGTAAAAAAAAAACAAAAAACCACCAGGAGAGAGCCTGGAGCTGCGTGTAAGGAGCACCAGGTCGCTCCACTTGCAGAGACACCTTTGCCTCCATCCTCGAGGAATTCGGGCTCTCCCAGCTTGCAAAGGAGGAGAGCAGGGGGAGCACCCGAGGGGGCAGGGGGGCTCACCTTGGAGGAGACGATCCTGTTGTCACAGAACTTCTGTGCCACGTACGCCTCGGTGTCCGGCACGGGCCGGTGCCCCACCACCACGGTGCGCGTGCCCACGCGCTTCTCCTCGCCAGCACACTGCGGGCCAGCAAAGGGAGAAACAGCTGTTAGCTCCAAAGAACCCAAATGTCTGCATTCGTGCTTCCAGCTCCTCAGTGCACCGCGCTGCTCGCTGGGAACGAGGCAGCTGCAACTCCACAATTCACCTCCATGCCACAGCCGAAGCACAGAGGATGAAGAACACGTGAGGTCATCTAGCAACACCAAGGATGTGCTGAGCCTGACACACAGCTTTGGTCAGCCATCAGCTCAGGAGCACAGCCTGCCCTACAGCCCACCAGCACAGGTCACTGCACTGCTGCCCTGTGCAGGACAGCTGCTGCCTGTATCTGCAGCCTGGGCCAGGTGGTTTTTCCTTCTTGAAGGAGAGTGTGTCTTTATCAAGCACTTCAAGGCATTAGGAATATAATTCAGCATCTATACATCTCTTCCTAGTCCTGACCTGGAGAATCCTTCAGCTCTGGGTTTATTCATTGCATGGAGGATGATGGCAACTGCACCCTCCCTTACACTCACTCTTCTGTCCAACCCTCAAACCCATGCAAAATGTCTCACCACCACACTGGTACACACAGATTTAGTGCTGAGCTCAAAAACCCAAAAGGGTCTGCTTCTGCTATTTAAAAATCTCAGCTAAAATCACGAATGATGAAGCAGACAGTTTCACAGCACAAACTCCTCAGGATGACACACATGGTGCTGGGAAGCCAGCTGGGCTTGCTGGGGGTTTAATTTAAAGCAGAATGAGATGTCACAAGTGAATGTCAGCCTCCTGTCATGGGGGCCTGATGACAGCCCCGCTGCTCAGCAGCAGGACGAGGGAACTGCAGCAGAATAACCTCAGCAGGGCTACTCTGCAGGACAACACAGCCCCTGCACACAGCCAAAGACACCTGTGAGCAGCAGCAGGAATAACCTCAGCAGGGAAGCAGGGCTGCTCTGCAGGACAACACAGCCAAAGACACCTGTGAGCAGCAGCACGGGGCTCCAGCACACACCCAGCCACCCCTCAGGGGTCAAAGACACCTGTGAGCAGCAGCAGGAATAACCTCAGCAGGGAAGCAGGGCTGCTCTGCAGGACAACACAGCCAAAGACACCTGTGAGCAGCAGCAGGAATAACCTCAGCAGGGAAGCAGGGCTGCTCTGCAGGACAACACAGCCAAAGACACCTGTGAGCAGCAGCAGGAATAACCTCAGCAGGGAAGCAGGGCTGCTCTGCAGGACAACACAGCCAAAGACACCTGTGAGCAGCAGCAGGAATAACCTCAGCAGGGAAGCAGGGCTGCTCTGCAGGACAACACAGCCAAAGACACCTGTGAGCAGCAGCAGGAATAACCTCAGCAGGGAAGCAGGGCTGCTCTGCAGGACAACACAGCCAAAGACACCTGTGAGCAGCAGCAGGAATAACCTCAGCAGGGAAGCAGGGCTGCTCTGCAGGACAACACAGCCAAAGACACCTGTGAGCAGCAGCACGGGGCTCCAGCACACACCCAGCCACCCCTCAGGGGTGACAGCACCCTGCAAACCACAGACAGACCCCCCTATCCAAAGGAGAGGATGTTAACACATACTAAACAAAGTACCTGAATGCACCAAAAGCACCAGAGCACCTCTACTTCAATGTAACTCTTCAGCATTTCCAACTTCTGGTAACTTCTCTCAAAACCTTTCCCAGCCTGTGACAAAGCCGAGGTCAGGCAGGTCCCTGCAGCTCTCAGGGGCTGAGGCAGCACCGTGAGCTCTGTCTCCATCAGCCCCCAGCTCTGGCCAGCCCAGCACACTCTGGTTTCTCACTGAACCAGAAAACTTTCTTTTCAAAAGCAACAGAACTGTGCAATAGTTTAAAAATCAGCTTTTCACTGAAAAAGGTTCCCCCTTTCATTTAACAAAGTGTCCTTGCCACAGATGGTCACAGCCAAGGGAGAAGACCTGGCCAGCACCACGAAGCATTTTGTGATGCTGAACTTAAAATTACACAATGAATTTAAAATACTCACTAAGAGCAAACAGGGGAAGAGGGGTGAGGGGAAAAGAGTGGTGTTAGACCAGGGTAAGATTTCCTTAGAGTTCAGTTTTCGAATTTTAAAACATAAATAGGGAAGACATTTGTCAGTCTATGCCCAGGTTCGAGGGCATTATCAGGCAGCAGAGCTGCTAAAACACCAGCAAACACTCTTTATACTCCACTTAGCCATACTAATCCTCAACCCTACAGCTTGCTTGCTTTGAAACCCTACCAGAGCAGGTGTCAGAACTGCCAAATGCCTGTCCCGAGTCAGCTGCCCAGCACGGGCTCAGCCTCTGCAGATGGATGCTCCAGGAGCCCAGGATCCAGCCCAGCATCCCTTGTCCAAAGGGCTCATCACAGGCAGCTTGGCAAGGTGCAAACAAAACCCAGCTAGAGAAAAGGTGCTCTGAAGAAAAACACACTAAGACAGAAGTCCTGGGACTAGCTGCTGCTTGGGTGAAGTGTCAAAACCAAAAACTTAAACAGCTAAAACCTGTGGACATGGAGCAGCAACAACTGAATGGATTCTACTGCACCAGGAGCAGGATCTGCCCAAAGGAAGCAGGAGCTCTTCCCTTCCTCTGTTTCCCACCCATGTCTGCACACCTGTAATTAAAGAAGTGTTTTTACCCCATGCCTATACCTGGGGAGGTCTGACTGCTCCCACTGCAGCATCCTCACACCTCCAGGCTGCTGCTTAGAGCAGGAGGATCCTCATGCCCCACACAATGTCCCTGCACTCCCGACAGAGCCAGCAGCAGCCACCAGCACCCCCAGCAGCAGCCACCTCCACCAGCTCCCAAACTGGGCAGGGCTGGCACACATTCCCAGCTAGGGAACGCCACCACGCTCCCACCCACACCACCACCACGGCAGCAGCAAACAGCCCCTCTTCTGAACTACAAACTAGACCCAAAAAAGGCTCCCTGATGTATCTGCTGCACGATGGAGGTGCCAGCCACGCTCTGACCAACCTGTGCCCCAGGAGCAGGAGGCAGAGCCATCCATCCACGCCACAGCAGTACCAGGCAGCTGAGACAGACGTCCCCACGCTGGTCCCCGCCGTGCCCCTGCCCAGGCTCTGGAGCAGGCGTGCCTGGGGACCATCCTTCCAGCACGGGGAGGAAGTGACAGCTTCCCCTGCCCGCTGGCACGGCCTGGGAAGCAGCAGGGTGAGGGTCTGCCACTCACACGCACCGCCACGGAAGCCACCGAGTTCTGCTTCAAGCACTGCTGGAAAAGTATTCACAGGGATTTCCTGACTATCCACAGAGAGCATGGTGCATGTGAAGCAGGAGCCAAGGAGAGCCCAAATTCAGGTGTGGCGCCCAAGCCACACAGAGTTCAGCACCAGCTCCAAGGAGGGCTTTCACCCCCAAATCCCTGTTGTTCAGCTGCAGCATCACCTACACAATGAGTGCAATGCCAGGGTAAGAGTGGCACTGTAACCCCATGGTGCTCCCTCCAGGGTCTCACAGGCTCCCAGCACTCACAGCACTTCATTTCCCATCCCCTCAACACCCCACGGAGTCACACCTGCCCACAGCCACACCAGAAGCTGGAAGGCTTCACAGCCCATCTCTGTCCAGCCCCAGAAGGTGAGCAGAGCCCAGCCCGTGCAGGAGGTGCTGGCTGAGCTCAGCAGCTCAAAGCTGTCCCTCGGAGGAGCCCAGCCCAGCCCTCCGGGTCGTTAATAGATTGCTACGTCTTAATCACGGCTCTCAACAGAGACTTAGAGGCAGATTTAGGGAATAACTGCCAGCTTTTGGGAAAATTATAAAATATGCAGATTAGCAGGGAGAGGATTTAGATGATTTTTTCCGACTGCCTTTCATGAAAAATTTTAATTCTGATGGCAAAGAAAAAAAAAATATTACTTGGATGCAATTCAAGCAGCTGCCTTGCTGCCTGGTGGGGTTCTACACAGCCCACAGTTCACAGTGCTGGAGTGAGCTGGTGCAGGCAAAAGCCAGAGTTTCTCCTGCTGCTTTGAGCCAAGCCTGCCAAAAGGATTACTCAAGAAAATAAAGAACTGCATTCCCTTCCTAGGCACTTTGTCACCTCCCTGGGCCAGAGCTGTTTGTGTGAGCACTGGGAGAAGCAGAGCTGTCTGTAGGGACCAGCAGTGCCAGACTGGGCACAGTGTGGGCACAGTGCCAGGGAAGCCACACTGCATTGTCCCACGGAGCCTCGGGGATGTGGGGATGCAGTAGGCACCACAGCCCCACCTGCTGTACCGTGTCCCTGCCACCCAGAAGGCTCCCAGCAGCTGGCACACATCACAGCAGCACCAGGGGAACGCTGCAGACACCAGGAACCGAGAGGAGGGAGAGAAGGAGGCATTTCTGAGCAGAGCACCATCCTGCCTGCATCACCTAAGATGATGCTCTGTCCTGCAATGCTTCAAGCTCCAGCTCAGAGCTCCTGTTCCACTGCCCCGGTGCCTAACCAAGCCTACCAGCGAGTCAATCCCTCAGCAGGGCATCCAAACCAGCCTTCTGAAGGAGCTCAGCTGGAACACAACGCAGAGGCAGGCACAAATCACAGGGGGTGAAGGTGAGGCAGACGAGGCTGCTGTGCCTGCCATCCCCAGGCTGGCAGCCGGCTGCCCGTCCTGGCTTCGCCCCAGGGCAGCTCCAGGGGCACGGCTGCACCAGCATGGCACACAGGGCTGCTGCTGCAGCACCCCCTTCTCTGCCAGGGAGAAAGTCACACGTGAACGGGTTCTGGAAAATGCTTTGGTGTAACCCAGCCCTCCCATACTTGCGCCTTTTACAAAGCCCACGTTCTGCCAGAAGCAGCAGTTCTGAAATCAAGGCACTAGGGGGATAATGGCTATTTTCTTACATTGCCCAAACTTAGAAAACCCATCTATGCCCATGGAAGATCACCTGAGGCTTGGCATTCCACTATAAATTTTTCTTTGAGGAGACAAGAACAGGTATGATTTGAAGGTATCAGGCCAGGAGTAAAAATGCCCATGGATGCAATTAATAACCCAACATATTG